AAAAAAAAAAAAAAAAGATCCAGCGGTTGAAACACGGAAGCATCACGTATGGACCCAATTTGTATGGGAATGCCATCCTGGAGTGGCTCACGAAACTGCTGCAAAATCTGCAGAGTCATGCGGGCCAGGGCAGCGACGACCGTCTCTGTAGAGGGCCGACCTTTCACTGGATCGACGGACGCTGAGTTGTACAATGAGTCGGAGCAGCTCCATCAGAATGCGTACCTGAGCGAATTGGCTGCCGCGCGGTTTTGCGGATTCTGCTGGAGGCCAGGCCCCCCCGGGCGACACTTTCTGTAGTTCACCGAACGTTGTCCTCGAAGAGTAAGGGAGTTGCACCCCTTACCTTCCTAGCTATAGTGGCATGGACACCCGCTGGTCGGTGATGCGAAGGATTGGAATTTGGAGGTGAGGCTTCAGTCACACTGCGTGCTCTTCTCTAGGACTCTGTCCGCATCCGTGTCTCCTCCATATCCCCGTCGAGACAACAATGCGATTGTCTTGGGACATATTCTACGAACTGAGCATCATCCAGCACGCTCGATACGAGCGCAGTTGACGCGCCTGGGTGTTCATCAGACCACGATGTTTCTCCAGCGCAGTTGCGCCCGATGCATTTCTGGCCGACTATGATTTGTCCATCGCCGCACGCAGGACGGGGGTCGCTGCGCCTTGGTCTCATCTCACAACGAAGGAGGCGGGTGTTCGTTTCTCAGCCCTGTCATGGATCATGTCCCCTGCGACAGATGCCACTGCCTAGAGCCATCGACGAGCAAGTTTATTCAATCATTTATCATGGACGATGTACGTCGGCCGCCCCTCTGTGCACAGCGTCCACGACCAGCACGCGCAGCACGCGCAGCCACCCCGAGTCCTGCTGTTCGGCGCCGGGCCTATGGGAGTAGAATGAGATTAGGACAGCGACGATGGTGCAGAGTGGGCGGCGCGCATGGTCTCGTACCCAGACGCGGCGAAGACAGGCGCTGATGCATATGCAGCGTTGCAGCTGCAGTCGGCGCGGCGCTGTTGGATCTCATGCGCAGCCATGACTGCTCCCCATCTCAGCATTGTCCTTGTCTCGAGGCATATCATGCGAGCTCAGCCCAACGATGTGACCGTCTCCTGTGCCTGTGCAGTCCCACTCGACGTGCGCCGACAAGACGGTGCCATCGCCAGTGGCAGGCCTGACGGACGGGTTCGCTGCGCCCTGATATCATCACACACCAAAGGCGCGTCTCGGTTTCTCGGCCCTGTCATCGTGCGCTGCGCGATGGGCCCATCGATGCAACCTGAAAGGTTCTTGCAAACACGGACGGCATCGCACACCACGGCATCGTCGACGCCCGACTGCTCCCGCGCGCGGGCTCCATCGCGCCCGTCTTAAAGCCGGCGACGACGACTAGCCCCCAGACGGCCCGGGGCACGCATCGCCGCGCGATTGGCCAGGACACAGCCAGGGAGCTCTCCTGTGGGAGGCGCGACTCTGCGGGCACTAGTCTGGTTACCCAGACTGCCGCAGACGACCGGGTTGCCGACGCGCCTCTCAGGCCCAACAGCCCCCGCGCCAGAGCCCCCCTGCTATGTTGCTACTCGCATGCGCAGGCCACCCACAATGCAGCCCCCGCGCACCCAGGACGTGCCTCATCGCCCCCCCCC